AAATCATCATTTTAAAGATCTGTATTTTCTTATGTGTGATATTTTTATTTCCTCAGAAATAATGCTGAAATCTGGAACTCATGTCGGAAGTCGTGTATGAAGAGACAGCCACGATGATTGCCGCCGGGGAATTGCAGTCGTTTGTCCCATTTGGCCGCGAGCACTGCAGGAACCATCCAAATGCCTTCAACCTGCAGCTCAGAGAGCTCCAGCCCGCCTCCGAGCTCTGGTCGTCAGACGGTGCTGCAGGCCTGGTGGGGTCCCTGCAGGAAGTCAGTCTTCAGGAGAGGGAAAGGGTGAGATTCTGATCTTCAGTTTTGGAAAATACTGACGACTGTATTAAAAAAATAAATAACAATAGTTTATAGTCCCATTATTTCCAACAAGTAACACAATAGATGCATTGTAGCATGAATAGTTCTTTAATGTGTCACTTAAGGCAGTTTCAATTTTGGCTCTTTGGTCTGATTGAGTTTGCTTTGAATTGCAGGAATGCTGGCAGCTCAGGAAGGGCAGCACAGGAATCAAAGAAGAAGATGTGGAGTTTGAAGAAGAGCTGTATGCAGCAGGAAATGTGGTCGTGTGGAGTCAGGGCAGTCGTACACAAGCCTCCACCGTATACAAAGCCTTCACCGTGGACAGCCCAGTGCAGCAGGTCCGTTTGCCTCAGAGTATCGATTTTCTGTTTGCCAAGATAGATTTTATGTGTATGCACTGAAATATTTCCTTTCCTCTTTGTGGAACTGATGCTGTTTACCATCTTCAGGCTTTATGGTGCAACTTTGCGGTTCCTCAAAACAACAATGACGGTAGCGTATCATTAAAGTTTTTTTGTTCTAAAGTCGCATCCCTGACTCAAGTTCATCCTGTCCTTTGTGGTATACTGCCGTTGAACCATCCACACACATTTTAATTGTTGTTTTGCAGAGGAAGAAGTGGAGCACACGGTGTGTATCGTTCAGAGTAGCTGTGTCAACGTTCACTCTGTCACTGGGAAGGATTTCATCTCGCCTTTACCCTTCCAGGTGAGCAAGAGACAGGCAGCGGCGGGAGGATAGGAGATGGTTCAGTGCTTCCATAAGATTAAATTACAGACAAACATCTGCCCTGGAAAGTATCCTAAACCTGTAAGAGGAAACAACACAAAGTAAACATGCCTATGAAGTTGTGTTTGTCAAACATCCATCTGTTTGACAATGATTTAACAACATTAGGGCTTTTGGTAGGTTTGAGCAGCTTGCATGTGGTTGTGCACATTGTAGAATGTCCATGAAGATGTTTCATAACCCGTTGGACATTAAATTCATAAACCACCAGCTTCATGGTTCCTGAATATGAATTCAGAAGCTTCTTGGTTTAACAATATCATATATTTCTCGTGTCTTCCATTTTTTTTCTCTCAGGTTTCAAATGTTTGGGCGACTGAGTTTGGACTTTTGCTGGAGCGGAAAAACACAGTGAACGAGACACAACTCAGCTGCCCTGGGTAATCACACGCTCCATGTTTTAGTTTGTTTTGGGCCGCCAAGTAACTCTGAACCCTCAGTGCTCCATCATAAACAAATTTAGGGTGACAAGCAAAATGAACAAAAAATAGTTTTGTCAAATCCTAAAACAATGCAGACTTCTGACAATAATGAGCGTGTACAGACCCTAACATACACTTATGTGTGTATGTGTGTGGCAGGACACTGAGATTTCCTCTCTCCACAGGGAGCCTCTCCCTACAGTGTTCAGCATGTTGCACCCTCTGGACGAGATCGCACCAGTTGTATGCAAACCGTCAGGTATGACACAGCCCCTCAGTTCTTTCTGTCTACATCTAGTCTCGCCCTGACTGCACTTTCATCTAAATGCGTGTGTTCTTTGCAGGAATGTTCGACGGTTCTTGTGTGCAGTATGCATCCGACTCCACCATGAAAATTGTGTTCACCTGCTGCCGGCCTTCTCTTGTTGTGTCCTACGACAGCGTACAGGGAACACACTCCGTTTGGGGCCTGCGCAAAGTCACACATGATGTGAGTTATCTACGTTACACCATCAAAAACACACATGCACACATTGTCCATCCCTTACCCTCAGTCCTGCCTCCTCATCAGGAGTGTTCCAAAGTCCTGAGGCATCTGTCGGAGCCGGCCGGGATGCCGCAGGGTATGATGGCGTCAGGCTTCCTGACTTCTCATTTGCGTAACATGTCCTGCCTTGACTCCCCTGGAGGCCATGCGGCGCCGGGGCTCGGTCCAGGAACTGGAACCAGGTACTGAAATAAAGCAAAAGCGCTGCCGGCGCTTTCATTTCTGATCCCGCGCTGCTGTCTCACCACATATGAATTCTTCCCGTAGTTTTGCTGTCGGGTCTCCGCTGCACTACAGCGTTCTGCACAGTCATCAGAGTAAGATCCTCACATCCTCACCGGGAGTACACCCCCGGGTCCATTCTCCGAGCATTTCCAACATGGCAGCCTTAAGGTGTGTTTGTTACTGAGGCGTAGAGGTGAAAGCTGGAAAAGATAAGCATGAAAACACCTTGGTTACCTGCACATTGAAGCATTCTTCCATCTCCTCCTCTGTCCTCCAATCCCAGCCGTGCCCATTCTCCAGGCATGGCAGCTCCCTCCTTTTCAGGTGCATCTCGCTTTAACGCATCGTTCCACAGCCCGTCCTCCAGGGGACATCATGGGCTGTTGCCCTCCCCCAACAGCACTGTCAATGAGACAGTGCTGTTGCCAGAGATGGAGCCCATCGTACCCGACCTCTGCATGGAGCAGCTGTGGAGTGAAACTAGCCCTGCTGGCTTCCACAGGTAATAACCCATACCAAAGGTTTTTAACTTTGAATGTTAGTTGAACCTTTGTGGCTGTTTTGTAGTTAAATGTTGTTGTTTGACACAAATTTGATCATTTGGCTTTTTTGCAGGAATATGAGCAGCCAGGCGTCGAAAGTATTCTTGACCTCTGACCTCTGCGAGAACCGCTACCTCTGCTTCCTGGTGGAGTCACACCAGCAGCTCAGGTTAACAGATATTCAAAATATTTTATTTCAGTTCTTTCAGCTCAGTTTGACTGAGACAGACAGAAGTTACAGAAAAAGTTGCTGATATTTATTTGATGCGGTTCGGATCCATTTTCTGCCACTGTGCGACTGAATCGTTTGCACCAGCTGCATCAGGAGAAATGCCCCCATCCTTTTGCCAGCATATATATTTAAAAAAAACAAAACAAAAATAGGAGTGAGTGGAAAAAAAACTGCAAGTGTGATTAAGAGAGAATCTGGAGAGCGTCACCATCTTAGCAGCGAGCTGCAGAAGCGATACGGATCATCATTACATGTGGCCTCATTCCGTTGTGGCATCTGAATTTATGAGCTGTCTTGTTTTTTTTGTTTGTTTCACAGATGTGTGAAGTTTATCGAGAGCAATGAAACGTCACAGCTAATCTTCCCCTCTGTCACCACCATCCCGGCCAAAGATGCAGAGCCTCTGCAGGTACACTTCTAAATAAGAGGACTCAGGACTGTCATTGCTGTGGATTTGATGCATTTATAAAAATCCCATCCATTACATTTATATAAATGCATACATGAAGTGTTTTTTTAATTTTAAAATCAGTCTGTATGCATTTTGGATGTGACCTGTTGAATCTAATTGTTTGTCTAATTGTTTTAGTAATATCTAGAATAGAAGATGCAAAATTGTTTTTATGTTTTATCGTTGGTTAATTTTAGTAGATAATTCGAATTCTAAACACTGGGAAGCAATCTCATTTGATGTGTTTGACAAAACACTTGAGTATTTAAACAGCAAATTGTTGATGCATTATTAGTGGATCATGTAAAATATGATGAGATGCAGTTTCTGACAATGACACTTTGTTCCTCAGACTATAGATGCCATGTTGGTTCTGGAGGCCTGTGGCAGCTTGGTTCTTTACACAGGAATCACACGAGTAAGTCTCACCACTTTGATACTCAACTGCTTTCAGAAAGTAGATTAAAACTAACCAATGACTCAGATTGTCTCAGTGCTATCACTCTGGGGTGGAATCATGATTACGCTTCCTTGGTGTCCCTCTAGGTTAGTAAGGTCTATGTCCGTGGCCTCTTGTCACCCACATTCAACATCACCAACCACCTCCCACACCTCAGCGCTGCGGTGGAGAATGTTAGCACCCCTGCTAATGCGGGCAGTCGGCACATTCAAAGGCTCGATGAGGTACAAGCATCAGCTTGACTGTTTCCTTATTGCTGTCCGAGAGGCCCATTTCTTTTCTGTAATCGGTCACACTAAACATTCTTTCATTAGAATGAATCAGTTTACATAAAAAAAATTGAAAAAATAAACAAACAAATTCTTTTGCATGTTGTGTCCATGCTTCAAAGACAATGTTTCTGTCACAAACGTCTGTGTTTGTTACTCGTTTTGCCGACTTGCGTCCTTAAGTCGATCCCTCTTTTTCAGGACGTCATGCCCTCACCGGTGTCAGAGCTGAGGAGTCCAAACATTAAGCACCATGAAGCTTCATTTTTGGAGGATTACACCTTTCAACAAACCTCGCCTTACATCCACGCTCTGCGGGACCCCGTTTGCAACCGGGTCACTCTGGTATGTCGGCTTCTGTCCCTTCTGTCGGCTTTTTTGCTGTTCGCAGTGGTTTTGGAAGGTCGGACAGGTTTATAACCTGTTATTTGAGCATGAGATGAATGAGATGAGATGGAGCAGTTTGTGTAATGCTCTTTTTTTTAATTATCTATTTGTCCTGTTGAAGACTCAGTACTTTAATAGGTCATAACAAATTTTCCATCACAAAATTTGAGTCTTCAAAGATGTTTCTGATTCATCTATATTTGTGAATGAGAACTGCAAAGCTATTTTTGTGCTTCTGGCTTCCAGGTTTGCTCTGTTTGCTTTGTGCTGTCAGACTTTTGGGTCATTTTTCTCACCAGCGTTTCTCCCTCAGAAAGATACCCAGTTGCCAGCTTTGATAGCATTGGCAAAGTGATAGCATTGCGGTCTGCTCTTCTTGCAGTCAAACACTGAACCACTTTTTGGTCTAAAATTGATTCCTACACGGTCTGGTGTTTCATCAGATTAGTCATCTTGCCAGCCTTTTTACATATATTGCATCGCGCAGAATTGGCCTCAATCTTGCTGAAATGCAGCCAGGCTTTTGACCTCGTTGGCATTTTTTTCAACGATGCACAACTACAGTTCATAACACAGATACACATGACCTACACATGGTACTACCTAAGCCTTTTGTTTGGTGCTACAAAAGAACTGAAGTTCGGGACCCTGTCCTACCTTTAAGAAAGGTATCAACATAAGTCACATGATATTTAGTGTCTTACTTATCCAAAGATTGCCTCTGTTTACCCAATTTGTTTCAAAATTTGTTTTTCAGGAGGAAAATAAGAAATATGATTTTCAAATATGTGTTTAGGGCATTCTGCAAAAAAAGGTGAATTGTTCGTACATAATAGACATGTTTTACATTTAGCATTGCTGCCAATTCCATATTCCAAATCCTTATTTAATACGCATTTCATGGTGAGTTTGCCAGCCAACTATTTCCAGGTGTGCTCAGTATTTAATTTGTGTTCATCCCTGATAGAGACTTGCTGCAGAAGCTTCCGCCTGATTATTTGTTTTTGAGACACTCGCTAATTTCACGCATCGGCCTGTTTTTCCATTAACCCCGTCTGCGTCCCCGCTGAGCTGTTTTCACACCACCTCCCCGTGTTTCATGGCGGAAAAAACTGGTGTGTAAATGGTAAAATTGGGGCTGGATTAATTATGTTTAGCTGCATTAGTTACAGGTTACACTTGGACAAATTGGATTGATGAGACATTCACTTTGTAACAAGCTGCTGGCCCTGTTGCCTCACATGGCCAAGAAACTGAAGCTTACACATAAAAACCTATGTCTCTCTGTAGGAACTCAGCAGTGGCACAATGCTGAGGATATCCATTCCTGAGATTGCTACATCAGAGCTAGGTGAGATACAAACACACACACACACACATATACACACACAGGACGTACAGTATGTTCACATGTAGACTTTAAGAAACACTGGAGCATTTGTTGCATTTCTTGCTCTTTGGCACCTACATTTGTGGGATGTAACCACTCTATCATTATAAAACAAATCTCCATTTGAAACCTGCACATGTACAGGCTTTCACATGAATGTTGTCCTGGACACCATCAAAAGTCTCCAAATCCTAACCTGCCATAAGTTTGGGTTTGGGAAACCAAAGTTGTGCGATGTGGTGCTTCAGGTCCAGAAATGTGCGCAGCAACCACTTAGGAGCCCTCTTTGTCTTCAGAGTAGGTCTTTTTTGTTAGTCCGCATTGCCATCTGTCAATAAAATGCGTATATTTGAAGGGGGAGCACACAGGTAAAACAAATCAAAAATCGCTTTAAACATCTGGGGACCCACAAAACATGCCTCATCTCAGAAATTAATTTTAGTTCCAATTTTCAAGTCTTAAGAATATAGAAAAATAAGCACAGACCTACAAATGCACACTGAGATGAGTCAGAGCTGCTGGGGTTTCAAATTAGGTTTGAGAATGCAGTGACGTATAATCTAGTTTTACCTAGGATGCCATTACTACACAGACATGGGCCTCTGATTATAATTGATGCACTAAGTCAGTGTTTTCTGTAGCTCCGAAGGAAACATCTGATGCACTGTTGGATTAATGGAGGTTTTTTCTGTGGCTCACATATAACGCACAAGTGGGATTGTTGAATTTTCTCCTCTTACAGTGTTTTGTTTTGTTTAACTTGGCAGAATATATTATTGCTATATCTAAATGTTGGAAAATAGAGGAACATAAGGCTTTCCAGCTGAATGTGATGATGTAGCTTATTTGACAATGAAAGTGGACTTTAGTGGAGTTATCCTATTATCACTGATGGGTTTCTTTAACTCTTTAAATCTCTTTAAACCCTCAAGATCTCTGTAGGCTTTTGTAAATAGCTGTATAAAATTAAGATATATTTATATATCTTATTTTTTCCTCTCTAATCCTTCATTATCACTCTGGTTTCCACATGCATTCCTCAGCATTTTTCCGTCCAGTCTGCCCTTATTTAGTCATCGATCATATGGATGAGGATTCTTCCTCTAATGAAATGGCCTTTATCCACCTCCTCTTTGACCTTTCCCACTTCGGATCTTCAATTAAGATAGCCTAGTGATGTTGATTAGGAATCTAATTGGTCAAAGTTGTGAGAAGTCACAGTGGCGCTAATTACCATTTTACTGGGTACTTTTCAATTTCCTGTTTTTTTTTCTGTTTACGACAAGATGCAAGTCGTTGTCCAGACTGTATTTTACTACCTTTAACATGTGGTATTTTACTCGTATTTCCCCTCGGATGTATTTCAGTGAGGAAGTGCCTTCAGGCAATTCGGTTCATCCTGCCGAAGGAAGCTGCCATGAAGGTTTGTAGAATTCAAGTCAAGCTGAAACATATTTGAAACACTTAATTGGATGTTGCTGTGTTGGTGAACTGTACGTATGAAAAACTTTTAGGTGTGCATTTCTAAGCATTGATTTCTGAAAACTTAACGCATAAACTTATAGAAAAATATGAGATTCTGCAGTTTATTACAAAAATATGTCCGAATAGATTATTAGAAATTTGCTTAAACGACACAGTAATTATTAATATTGCTAAATGATTGTATGAAGTCACATTTTTTTTTACAACTGCCTCCAATAATATATAAATCTGTTTAAAAATAGTTAGAAAATTGTCTGCATGCAACACTGCATTTGCTGAAAATTAGACTGCTCTTTTAGAGGATTTAAAGTTGAAATTCATGATGTGGAGAATATCTCCAACTTCTGTACAATGTGCAGGTTTTGGTAAAGTGGTACAATGTCTACAACGCCCCTGGAGGTCAAAGTGCTCATGCGGAATGGAACCAGTTTGTCACCTGTTTTTTGACACTGATGGGCTACAACACCGAGCGCCTGGCCTGGACTCGCCATGTGAGTCCACTGTTGGGCTTCTTTTTATTTAATTTGATTGGTATTTACTGTTGTTTTAGCTGTTGATTCACACAAAAAAAAAACAGGTTTATCCTGCTGATCTTTGCTGTTATTTTGTTATTTTCTTAATTGTTTTCCGTTTTTCCGCTCTCCTTCTCCAGCTCCATTTTGAAATGCCTCTGTCTCCAGTGATTGCAGCAAAGAGGTCTCGTCCATCTGATGGAGGTTCTGATGAGGTGTGCGGCTTATGCCTATTTTTCAGCACAATAAACACTAGTCTAGATTAAAATAAGCTCTGACCCTTTGTGGGAGAGACTGAAACAAAAACAGTATTTCTACTTCAGCTGACTTCACAAATATGTAATCTATACCCAAACCTTGACCAACACTAATCAAAAGAGCTTAAAAATAAAATCAAGTCTTTATCCTCAAACAGCCCCACAAGGGTTTTGTTAGCATTCTCCTAATTAAAGAAGATTTCTCATGCACAGTAATCTGTGTTGGTGTTCTCATTAATTCAAATCTGGGTGGAAAATGTCAATCAGCTGGAGGCTTTCTAGGCAGCGTTTCAACGCGTTTAGTCTGAGAATACATGAGTCAAATCCATCTAAAGCTGCCGTGTTATGTATTTTACGACAACCCCTGCTCCAGGTTGCAGGCCGTCCTGTTCGGTGGGAAAGACTCCCAGAATGCATTTCCTTCGTAGCAAATGTGACAGACTGCTGTGAAACTGTTCGGAAATAAATTCTAGTCAGAAAGGCTTTAAGGTTGAAAAATGATTCACTTCCATCTTCTTCTGTGTCGACACGTCAGGAACCACAGACAGCAGTTTGTGGTACACTTGTTTTTGTGTACCGGTAGTCTTTTAGTGTTGTGCGTGTCTTTTCTCTCATCTCTGTAGGACTGGGACTACTTGCTGGCGTCTCATTACCATCGGCAGATAAATTCTCAGCCTGTCTTTTCTTCAGAGGAATCCAGTGGGACCAATGACATGTCCTCTGTATGTACCCGTTTTTAGATAGATCTATATTTGATATTTAATTGTGATATGCTTGTACGTTCCTATTTGGGTTAGACTGTAATGGGTAAGAATTTAGTTTAACTAAGAAGTGAGGTTTTACAAATATTGAGACATCTTACAAGACACAAATCTTCCTCATAATCTTCTTTCATTTTCGTGTCTTCTTTGTTTAAATGTGTTTGGTAAATCCTGCTGCAGTAAATCTAAATATGTTAAATTGTTGCATAAAGGAGTAGATTTTTCTGTACTATTACTTAAAATCTTAATCAAAGGCAACAACACTGTTTATTCCAAGCTCACAGATTTTAATTTGGATAGACTCAATTATTGAAACCCAATAGTGTTTCCTAACATGAGTTGACAGCAGTTCAGACTTCAGCCTCATAACTGACCACAAAACACATTTTAAGCATTTAAAGACTTTCTTTCATCTCCTGCACAGCAGTTACATACATCCATGATACTTTGTCTTCACAGTCATGAGACAGTCTGTTTCTGCAAACTGTAAATGATCCATTTGTGACCAAAACACGCTGCTGTGGGCAGGTTTCAGGGCGGGACGAGAGACAGCAGCTCTTGCTCCTGCAGACAGATCCACTGTGCTTTCACACTGAGTTTAGTCAGATTGGTAGAAGTTTGCTGATGAGTTGGATCCATCTGCCAACTGACCCAATAAGTTTATTCTGGAAGCACTTGATCTTGTCGTTAACCTGAGCAGTGTTTTCAGTGACGATTAAACAAACCTACACACGTCAAATTAACCTGGGTTTATCTGAGCTGTGAAGAAAATTCAGACAAAGATGTATTTGTAATTAACTAATTACTACTCATAATATATATTTTTTTGTCATTTGTGCAGAGCTCAGTTGGTCCAACGATGCTCCAAAATGAATTTAGCAGAAGATTTGTGTTCTAATTTACATTCTCTGTTTTTCTGCCCTTTACTACAGCATTATTTGATATTTTTCTCTTCCTCTTGTCCTCCCATGAACAAGGCATCCTCTCCCTACAGTCCATCACTGAAGCTGGACAATTCAGCACCTTTGTTCCCGCACATTCCCGCCCTTTTCTACGTCCTCCACCTGCTTTACCAGGAGCTGCAGCTGGATGAGCTGCACAGAGCCAGAGCCTCCTCGTTGGTCTGTCTGCTGCAGCAGCTTGCCAGGTAACATTTCAACGTCTCTGCTCGCTGCAGCTCAGCGGGTGGAAATCTGAGCGCCGAGCGTAGCTGCGATGCGCTTCTGATTTCAATTTTTCGAGGAAGAATAGACTCTTCTATTACTCCACAAATGTCATTAAACAGGCAAGAGACCTGTGCCACTTATCACAACAAACTCAGCCTATTTGAATTTTCCGTCAGCTGTGTTGAACTTTCACTTTGAGAGGAAAACACGAGTGCTGCTCATTGTTGTCATGGAACGTTTGTGTGTAATCAAGGCCCTTTAGTGATGTGTATAGAGAAATAAACTTCAACAGATTGTCAAGTGACGGCTGTGATTGGTGATGATGATTATAAGAGAATAGGTGGAGTGGGCGAGTGAAGCGCTCTTCAGAGTAATTGGCCTGTATTCGCTAGCATGTGGGTTGTATGTAAGTATGCAGCACTGTGTTCTTTGTCAGCTGGAGGGAACTAAAAGAATTTGTCTGTTTTTAATTTTTTAGTTAATGGTTTTCTCTATATGTCTATATATAAACCTTAAAAAAAGGTGGCTTTCAAAATGTGTTCGTTAGCACTTTGGATTTCTGTCACATATTTCTTATTGAAAATGCCAAATAAATAAAACTTTTATTTGTACTTTGTACATTATTTGAGGCTTTTGACAAGTGAATGAGTTCCACACCCAAAACCATCAATAAGAAACTTTTAAAAAGTTATCACGCATAAATCAAAATGTCAAAAATTGGAATACTTAAACGAATACATTTCTATGCATACCTGTACCATGACTAAGTCCCACTACTGATGAGATAATGCACTTTAGAGAACAATACAGAATACATATAGCTTCTTATGAGCTGAATAGTAATGCTGTTTGTGGTAATTGCTTTTGCACTCTGAAAAAAATGAAATGCCACCGTAGCTGTTTGAGAATGTCGAGCTATTTTTGGATTCATGTTAATCGCTTGCAGCAGTTTAGCACGCTATTCAGCGGTAACCTTATTAAATATACAAGGTACCTTGTACAACATTGGCTTAATCCCTAAAAGTCACTTCCTTTTTCATCAGGCCAAGGGGAAAAAGCACCTTTTTATTCTTTGTTACAGAGGAAAAAAAAAAAAAAAAAATCCAGCTTGTCCCACTTCTCTGCTGATGATTCGGTTGTTTTTGTGTGCAGAGACCTTCAGCTGGAAGAGTACATTGATCTGTATTGGAGGGACTATCCATCTCTGATGAGTTGTTTTACTGAGAGCTGCATCATCGACCAAGGTAAAGACCCACTGTAGAGTTAGATGTGATATTTACTCTGGATAAAGTGTGCATGTTATGGTGGTTAAATAAGGGTTGTTTTTCTTGCTTCCCTTATCATTCGAACTAGCTGTGTGGAGATATGAAGTGACAAAAAGTGACATATACCTTCATCATGGTCATTCGTCCTCCCTTCCCCTCCTCTCTTCTCGTCTCCTCTCCTGTTCTTGTGTTGTCTGAATCTCTCTCTGTCTCTCTTCTCTCCTCCACCGTTCCTTCTAAGCTCTGATTGGTCAGATGCAGAGTCCGTCCTTCCTGAGGTCTGAGCCTCCCTGTGTTTTCAGCTGGCTCAGTAGATGCTTGAGAGGGGAAGTGACCCCGCCTTTCCCCTACCTACCCGACATCTGTCAGAGGACCAGGCTGCTGGTTCTGGTATGGCCAAAGCTTCTGTAAAGTAGTCGGTAGTATTTCATATGGAGGTTTGGTTTTCACTTGCAGGTTGCAGGTTGAATGTGTGATGTACATTTTATAGTTGTGTACTTAAGACAACATAGTTAAATATCTTAAACCTTTTTGTAACAACCCACCTCTTTGAGGTGTTTCAGTTGTCTTGCTAACGTAGCTTTTGTAGACGCATTGCGAAAGAAAACTAACTGAAAAGTCAAAATCCTGAGTAAAATACACCCATGCATCCTAACATAAATTAATCGGATGCATTAGACTTTGCTGAGACATCAAATTGTGCGCTACAGTAAAAATACATTTGAGGCATAACTCTTTTAAAAAGTCAAAGTCTCACATAGTAAAAATGCTGGTTTTGGCTCCACCTTTTGAATAGTTAATTTATCATTTATACTGTGTTCAAAACAAATAGTTCACGCAAATTATATCCGTGGATGTGTTCTTCATTTCTCAGAGTTATGCTCTCTACATCATCGGAGATGATAATGCCACCTCGACAGATGTTTCGAAGTACCTGGTCAAACTCTCTGCGGGTTTGTGTCTTTGCATTTTTCCCTTTCTTTCCTTGTTTAGTTTGTTTAGTCACAGAAAAAAACATTACTGGAAAGATGCTGTTTTCAGTTTTGTCCATGACTTTATGTCCAATTTTAAATGCAGACAGCCTCCATCTTACACCACCTCTTTTATTTTCTGAAAAATGTGGCAGAGACCAAAAGTTTGAGATGCCTTTAATTTCATTTCATTGTGATAATTATCAAAGGTCATCTGGTTGGCTTTTATTTGGTCCTGGACAGTGTGCTCCTCTGTGTATGCATGTATTGACGAGCCGCCCCTATTAGCTGCCACAACAAGTTCCCTGCTTCAGGGCTTGGTTACCTTTGCTGTGACAAAAACCCGATGGAGCTCCTACGTGACAATCATTGCTGCATGAATTTGTTTCAAAGATGCTGTTTTCTCACTGAAATCCAGAATTTAGCCATATCCATTAAAACATAGAAAACAGATGTTTAAAATATTATTTTCAACTCAGTCCTCTGTTTTTCCTTTGACAAATAGGACAAAAAAACATTTCACACATCATTTATTCATGTCATTCTCATATTGTACCAGATGTTCCTGCATTTTTTAAGGTTATTTAATTCTGGTCCTTTTCAGAATTTGTGAAAAATAAGATAAGCTAATTTATTTGCAGGAGCCATTTATCACAGAGGTTAATCACATTCTTATCTCATCTCTCTTTTTCTCAATCACTCTCATCCTTTTCAGGCCAAAAGTCCTCTGCTATTGATCTACAGTACAGAAGGTAACAAAGGGAGGGAACCTTTGGATTTTCTGTTATTTTTATGTGGCTTAAAAGTATAGTGGTATAGTGAAATAGTTTTAAAAGGGTAGCTTTGGTTATTTTCCTCTTTTAGAAAGAAATTGTTTAAGAACATTTCAAATTTATATGTATACATCTATTTGTATATAACATGTATGTTAAAATAATCTATTTTTTCCCAGACAGAGCACTGTGAAGGTTAAGTTTTCGAGTGAGAGTCTGGCTGAGCAGCTGGTGGTCTGGCTCACCTCAGAGGGTAAGAATCTACTCTTTTTTGATATATGTATAAAGTAAAGTGTTTTTCAACGAACAAATCCTCTTTAACACTGATAAATATAGGCCGATCCGTTTAAAAAAAAAAACTCCACAAACAAACAGCTTTTTTATGCAGGTCCTCCAGCTCAAACAAACCCATTGTCTCCTTTCTATTTGGTAATCTATTGTTCATGGTTCAGGCGATCAACACCGGACTCTGTTGGTCTTATTAATGCAACCAAATGTTTTGTGTGTTGTGCAAACAACTGATTTGTGGGGTTATAATCAGTGCGTAACTTCTGATAAAAACAAGTTTGGATGGAAACTAGCACCTTTATCTCGGGTGTATAGACACTCTTTAAGTGAATTGGTTTCAAGATCTTCCTTTTTGCTCTGTTTTACTCTGGATTTAGTTATTTCCAGAATTAGCTGGGATTTTGGACAGTCAGTCTGCTCCCCCCTGATGTGAAGAACTGTCCCTTGTCAGAAGCTACTAAATAAAAATATGCATTCTGGCACAAGCTTGTAAGTAAAATCACTCATTTCTGTCTTCAACGGAGTAGGTTTCACCCTGAAAGACCTGGAGTCTGTCCCCTTCGGCGTGGCGTTGCCCATTAGAGAAGCCATTTATCGATGCCGAGAGCAGCCGTGCTCCAATTGGTCAGAGGAGGTCTGTCTTCTCATTGGGCGACAGGACCTGACCAAACAAGCCCACAAGACTACTTTGGCCAAGAACAGAGGGGTAAGTGTGAGACAAATCAAAACCTCTGGCTTTTTTGGCGGGTCAGATTAGGATGCAAACATTGTTTCATATCAGCCATCAATAAAACTGGAGTTTCTCCTGACCCGTAAAAGGCTTTCATTCATTCAATTATTAATTTGAAATGAGGCCATATATTTCCATAAAAATGGGGCATAAAGTCTTTAAATCCATCTTTTAAAGGTCTTAGAAATGCCACAGACACAGTAAATAAGATTTGACGCTTGTGTCATTTTAAAGAATATGATGGAGACCCAATCTTTTCGATTCCACTTGAAAATGTTTGGACCTGCTGATACTATTCTCTTTTTGTTTTTCATGACACAATAATAACTTATTTATACTATTCAAGCAACCAACAATTACATCTTTAAATAATCTGTTAGTTTTTCTTAGAGGAAGCTTCACTCAGAATGATTACTCATTATTTGGAATAAATCTGAGAGGTCATTTAGATAATTGTCAGTAAGTGAATGGTTGTTTACTGCTTGCAGCCTGTATCTTTGATAATGTTTTGTATCGTCATATATCATCATTTCCAGTCTTTAGGTTCAGGACTGTCCTTAAAACCTCCTGCAACCACAGAAGCAGATGAAGAAGAAGATGGGATGTCCGACATCATTCAAGAGGCAATAAAACTATGGAAATTCATGATTTTCTAAATAAAATACATATGATTGATATAATATTTTATAAAACGACAGATTGTGTATTTACTCAGAAAAAAACTTGCACCCTCTTTATGGAATATTTTTGCCTGTCAGGTCACGGGACTGATCTGGAGTCAGGATCTGAGGGTCCAAGAGGTCAGGAGGCTGCTGCAGAGCTCCAGGCCTGTTCGGGTCAGCGTTGTTCAGCTTCCAGAGGTCTCCGACCACGAGTACATAGAAGAAAAGGAAAACAAGTAAGTGCAAGGCAAATCTGTGCCATGACCATGTTTGGACTTTAAACTTGGATGTTAACAGAAAACAAAGCAGCAGACTTAAAGGCAACGTGCTGTGTGTGTCTCATTTTTTTATGTGGTCCAGAGTTCATGTAATTCACTCACTGACATTCAATTGTTCTCGCTTAATTGTTTGAGTCTGTCCTCTTTCAGTAACTTTAGTCTGTCTCCTCTTTTCCCACCCCAGACTCCTGCAGTTGTGCCAGAGGACAATGGCTCTTCCGGTTGGCCGGGGCCTCTTCACGCTCTTTTCTTATCACCCAGTACCAACTGAGCCTTTACCTGTACCAAAGCTCAACCTCACTGGTAATGTGCCGATTGGAGTTCTTACTCTGATCTTTGTTTTGTCGAGTAGATCTAAGACAGGGAGATTTAAAAGAAACCTGGAGATATCTGAAGTATTTTTAGTAGAGCCAGGATATCTGGAGAGTTCTTATGATGCAAGACACAACAAAATATTCCTTCGTTTAAAGAAGTTTAAAGAATTAATTTTTTGTAACATTTTTCGATATGTTGGGATTTACATTCAATTAGAAGTTTGCAACAAGAAAAATTCAATAAATATGTTTTGCTTGTACATTTTGTGATTTCCACTTTCAGGCCGTGCTCCTCCCAGGAACACAATGGTAGACCTCAACAGTGGGAATATTGATGTCCCCCCCAACATGACCAGCTGGCCCAGCTTTCATAACGGTGTAGCAGCTGGACTAAAAATAGCTCCTGCTTCCCAGGTGAGTCTGAGACTCCATTTCTGCAATAACTCTTGTGTTCCTTTGTCTTTTGTCACAATAGATTGATACATTTGTATAATATATTTCACACTTTACGTTGTTTGGATGGGGTTTTCTTTTGCAATCCCTTTTTATGCTGAAATTTTTATTTTTTGGGGCTTTATTTTATGCTTCTGATTGAGTCATTTGTTCAGAATTGTTATTTTTAACTTGATAGTGAAAAAGATAGATCACATTAATTTTCTTGTTTGATAAACATATTTTAATTTTTTGTTTTCTTCTTTAGGTGGACTCAGCCTGGATTGCCTACAACAAGCCAAAGAGCCCTGAGCTGGCAAATGAGTATGCAGGGTTCCTCATGGCATTGGGGCTTAACGGACACCTCACCAAGCTGGCCACCCTCAACATACACGACTACCTCACTAAGGTGCACAAAGACACACAACACACAGAAACAACTGAAGTGATTCCTTCACTCTGCGTTTCTCAGCTGAAGCAAATTTACCGATATTAACAGATAGTAGTTATGTTGACATAGATTACTTTATTCACTGAGTTTACAGTAGATGGTGCTTTAGATAACTGTTTTCACACAGACAACTTCAAAAGAAAAATGGAAAGTCTGAAGCTGAATACAGTTTATGCAAAACGCACCCGTTTACGCGCTTTATTTCGCACGTACACAACCACATGCAGAGCTTTCTCTAGATGAGTATAGAGGAGAGTTGTAAACTTGCATCAAAGCTAAGCAGCTTCTCATTTCTCATAGTGAAACTCTGCCTTCTGAGAACTTTAGTACGAGATAAGTCTTTCCCACTTTCTGGTGTGAAAAACAGGATGCTGTGAATTCAAAACTCTGAGAAACGATACTGTTTAATAAGCACAGAAGCAAGAAGAATTCCCAGCAGATTATCCCTTCAGAATCCTGAATCAATTAATTTACAGTTCACGTTCCTGTCCAAAAACTGTAATGACAATCATTGTCATCAATGTGCTTTCAGTACCAGTGTAAATATTCTTTTAAGAATAATCCTATAATTGTAAAGTACTTGAATTTGGTAGAAAAATTCAGTGTGACTGTTTCAGCCCTCATAAAAATTGGCCTTCTTATCAAACCCAGTGCTGACTTGTGCGTCTTCCTGCGAGTGCTGCGAGATTGTTCAACATCTTTCATGTGAACTAATCTACACCTATTTTGATGTTTTCTTTGTTGGCATTCTTTGGATCATACAGATAATTGACCCAAGTGGAAACCATTTGTTGGTTGGTATATTAAAGTGAAATTCCTGTAATCTTTTGTGCATTAATTGTATAACAACAGTTAATAAATAAAACACAAAGGGCTTGGCAAATGCCATTTTAGATGAGCTATAATAAATTTAGGTGATGATATTTTCTTATTGGTTTTACCAGCTCAGAAGATGTTGATTTGCGTCCTGAAGACTTGACAGGGAAATGCACTGTGTGCAGCCTCCAGTGTGAATGAAAATTAAAAACATGGTTGACGGTGATGTGTTTATGTAGCTGGTGGTTTTCTGTTGGTTTCTACTCTCGCTGTAAGGATAAATGACACTGACGCACACAGGGTCATTTCATCCGAATTGTTTGTGGCTGTGGTTTTAAATGGAATAGAGATCTGTATTCTTAATCTTTCACTCATCATTGTGTGCTCACCTTGCAGCTTTAGCTTTGTACAAATGATTGCTCGCACAAGAGAAAACAAGCAGGGAAAGTCTTATTTCTTTATATTGGCATGTCTGATGTAAGGAAGGTAAATACATCTAAACATGTTATAATATTCACTGAGACAGTTCAGGGAGGGGCAAAACCAACCAGTTTCCGCTGCTTAAACCGACACACCAAGTCTTGAAATCCACCTCATGTAGGACTGCATGTGATTAAAATATCAGATTAAATATGAATTCACAATTTTTGGTATGTGAAAAAAATTCGGTGCTCAATAAAGTATTTGAAAGAAATAGAAATGAAAACAAATCAATAAAATCATCTGTCACTGTCATGTTACATCCAGAAAAAAAAACATAGTTTTGTTTTTTCGGTATTTAAGCATTTGTTTACCCTTTGTTCCTTATGTTTCTCAGGGCCATGAGATGACGAGTATTGGACTTCTTCTTGGTGTGTCTTCGGCCAAGCTGGGCACAATGGACATGTCAATCACCCGCCTACTCAGTATACACATCCCCGCCCTTCTCCCGCCCACCTCCACGGAGCTCGATGTGCCGCACAATGTTCAGGTGCATGTCTGGTGTCAGTGCACTTTGTTCATTAGTATTTGCATTTGACAGCAGTAACTAAACACTATCTCTCTGTCTGTCTGTCTTGCAGGTTGCTGCTGTAATTGGCATTGGTTTGGTCTACCAGGGAACAGGACACAGGCACAATGCTGAGGTCTTGTTGTCTGAAATAGGTGTGTGTTCTTTGTCAATGTGAAGAATCGATACATGAGTCAATGAGAGCTTTTCCAAACATTGCGAAACAAATAAACATTTGCTAAACCGTAATACTAGAGAGCTGTAATGATTAATGAAAATGAAGAATATTTTTGAACTGTAGCTACATTCAGCTTTTCTGATTCTTAATTCTTTGAGTTTGTTTTTGTGTGTTGATCAGGTCGACCCCCTGGACCTGAGATGGAGTACTGTACTGACAGAGAGTCATATTCACTGGCTGCCGGACTGGCCCTTGGAATGGTCTGCCTCGGGGTGAGTCACTTATAAAAACAGACTTTTTTATTTGGTCCTTGCAAAAGCACTGATGTTTTAGATCCTTCTATTCGGAGAGGCATTTGCTTTTCATCTTAGAAACTTCACGGAAAGGCAGTATTTACAGACTCAGCTGATATCATGAAGACTTTTCTCTTTCTACATCTTTGCACAATTTTCATGTTTTTCATTTTTCAAAATATTTCTTCATATTTCGCATATTTCACTCTATTGTGTTTTGATAATCGTATCCTTTCCCAATGCTGCCTTCCCTCCTCTCTGTTATCTCAGCATGGCAGCAACCTAATCGGGATGACAGACCTTAACGTGCCTGAGCAGTTGTACCAGTATATGGTTGGAGGCCATCGCAGAGCTCAAGCTGGAGCCAGTCGTGAGCGACACAAGTCCCCCAGCTACCAAATCAAGGTGGAATCCTCCCTCTATCTGTCTTAAGTATCAAGAATTTTTTTATAAAACAAAATGTTGTTACATTTTTGGAAAATTTATTAAAACTAATATTTTTTTAATGTGTTGTGAAAGTGAAAAATCAATATCTTGAATGTATATATTTAATAATTATCAGCAGAAATTATCTTAAATATTTTAATCAGATTGTATGTTAACCAAAACATTTAGCTGTAGTCTGTTCCTTATTACTCACTAGTGATTTAATTAAAATAAATACCAGTTTAGAGCAGACTTCTCTTAGCAGACCTCCAAAGCTTTAAACATGTATTTGGATTGTTGACATTATTTGGAGAAAGCATGGAAGCCTGTTGCACATCCCTTTAAAATAAGATGTGAGGCGTCGCCATTATGGAAAGTTAAAATTGATAAATACTTTGAAAGGTCATAACCTGACTCATGTTTTTTTTTTGTGTGTTTGTTTCAGGAGGGCGACACAATAAATGTTGACGTGACATGTCCAGGGGCCACACTGGCCCTCGCTATGATCTACCTCAAGACCAACAACAGGTGAAAGACGACTCCTGAATCCACCCATCTGACAAACAGAGAAGATCACACGCATCGTCTCAAATCTGTGTTGTTTCTTACTTTGTATGCTAAGAAATAGCTAGCGGGGAGAGTGGAAAAGGGGCTAGTCAGAGGAGCTCTGAGTGAGGCATCGCAGGTGCATCTTAGGCTATTTCTTATCTTTTTTAAGCATCTGTGACATTTAAAATGGACACGGTACGTCGCCCCTCTTCGTTAACTGAAATAAATTAACAGGAAACAACGGATGGATGATGGAGCTGTAACTTGTGTCGTATTCCATTTATGTCTGTGTAAAATGCCATAAAGCTTAGGCGTCATTCTGTAAACACATGTTGACTCATCGCTCCTTGTGTCTCTTCCCCATCTCCCCTGCTAGCATCACATTAGGTATTAAAGCTTGACCGAGAATAGCGAAGAATTGGGTATGTGCAAATTGAAAAATGAGAATCAGGGCTTCTGCTCCTGTTGTCTGAAGGAAGCATCATGACGCAGTAGGACTAGTTTCAGTATAACGTCGATGGTTAAAGACTCTTAAGTTCAGACTTTTTACGCTGTGTACCTGTGTGGGTTTTGTGACTGTCACAAACTATCACATGAAAAGAAATCATGATTATATTTGGCCATGAAATATGATTTGATACACAGTTATTAACTATGTATGATGAAAGCAGAATCTTTCCTACGTTGCTGCTTTAAATTTGATGCAAAACTTGTGAAACACAGACCCAGTGTGCCCTGTTCTGTTAATTCAGAGCATTGTAACCTGTGCTGGTGCTAAACAAGACTCCTCCACCTCCCTGCTGCCTGTTGGTCAAGAAGCTCCTGATTTCTTAAAGGCTCATCTGATGCATCCTACCTCTTGATGGAAAAGGTGTTGAAGGAATGTATTAACACTCTGTTTTCTCATCCCGGTTCTGTCCATTAGGTCCATAGCTGATTGGCTGAAACCTCCAGACACTTGGTTTCTGCTGGACTTTATTAAGCCAGAGTTTCTGCTGCTGAGGGTGAGAGCTGTGTGTGTGTGTCTGTGTGAGTAAGAGGACCCAGACCTCTTCTTAATCTGGTATACCTGCCTCTCATTCTTCTCGCTTCTCCACCTCATCAGACTCTTGCTCGGTGCATTATCATGTGGGATGAAATCCTCCCTAATACTGAGTGGGTCAAAAGTAACATACCCCAGGTGAGAAAATACAACAACACGTGTGTGATCATGATGATGCAGGCTGCAGACACTTTCTTATTTGTATAGATTTAGGCATTTTCTTCATTTTCAACATAGAAATGTAGCTTTTTCCTTTCAGTGCCATGTAAAAGTGATTTTCAAAAAAGTGTTAAATCATCCTGTTACATATGCCATCAAAGGAAGGTGTCTAGAAAAACTGTTGAGAATTTAACCTGTCCACTCATTTGTATTTTCAATCCTACTTTTTTTTCAGATTATGAGAGGAAACTTTGATTTATCAGAGGACTTTAACATGGGGGCAATGGCGTGAGTATTTTAAACAAGTAGACAACTGATAAAGTTGATTTTCTATGTTAAATGGAATATTACATTTGTGTGAGCGGCAGCTATATCATACTGTCTGTGTGTGTCAGTCAAGCCCAGGACTACATCACAGCCGGGGCCTGTTTGGCATTGGGCCTACGATTCGCTGGCTCAGCTAATTCCGATGCCTTCGATTGCCTCTATGATTCAGCCATGACCTTCATGACAATCATGTCTTTAACTGGAGCAGGCGCTGTGGCCGCTGTGAGTGTTTCTGTTTTTTATTGGCAATCATTAGGAGTGTGTGTGCATCCAGTTCTTTTTCATATGCGTATGCTATGCCGCTCCTCTCTGCAGACGGGCAACTACAACCTGCAAACGGGCCTGTCAATGATCCTGCTGGCTATGTCCATGGTAATGTCCGGCACCGGGAACCTGAAAGTCCTGCAGCTCTGTCGTTTTCTCCACAAGCGAACTGGCGGAGAGATGAATTATGGCTTCCACATGGCTCATCACATGGCACTGGGTTTGCTCTTCCTGGGAGGGGGCAGGTGAGACGGTTACAATTACAGTTTCTGTCAGCAAACACTGGCTTTAATGATTTGAGAGCACACCTTCTGTGTTCAAGGCGGGCCGTCTTTGGACCCTTTTGGATGTCTGCACAACTATTTTCCATTTGTTCATTCTGAAAAGATTGGTCTTTCATAATTTGATTTAAAAAGGGACTAAATCTTTTTTTGTTTTTTTGTTTAAGAGAGGCAGTATATTTGTCTTTATTTATTTTTTCCCACTAAACACAAAAGCATGAAAGTAAACTTGTGACGGTTTGAGTTTCCACAAATGTTTTGCTCAAGTGAGCAATTTGGATAATAGTGTGTTTAAACCCACACATGATAAACTGTCCTGATGCTCAAAGTTATTATGGGACATCTTACAAAATGCGGCGATCCTAGTTAATTGAACGCCAGTGATTCACGTCCCAAAGATTTTAACATAACAAAGACACTTTTGTAAACGCATAAGAAAGGCAATAAAGAATATATGCAAAATTATGAAAAACATTTTCAAATGTGAGTTATAAATTCATTTACAGTAAAAGGATTTTAAAACCACAGTATTGTTTTTTAGTGTCAGAGATACAGTAATAAGTAAATTTTTATTTGAAACAGTTACCTTTTAGTCTCTGGAAAATGCCGGCTTAGCCCAGGGTGTGTGTTGCAGAAAACTAAAATGAAAACACTGCTTCCATTGTTTAAACTAACCATCTCACGGCTCTGCGAGCTGCGCTTGATGTTGTCCCACATGTATCCAGTCCCACGGGGCCTGAACTGCTGAATGTGGAGAGACGTACACATAAAACACAAACTACAAACAAAAACACACCCACTTGATGTGGGAACGCTGCTTCTGGGAAGGCCCAGGTACACCGCATACACACTCATTGTGTGCGATAGCCCGACAGACAACACAAAAGTCTGCTGGGTTGTGCATAATGAGCGGCATTTATACGCACACGGACCTATTCACACACTCAAACCAGGGTCCTCAAACCACTGACCCTGCCCTGTGTATTTTCAACAGAAACAACAGCGTCCGCTCTGTCATTATATGTTGCAAATGTCTGTCAACCTACGGCCATAATCAGATGAACCTTTTGATTTAACTCAGGTCATGTTTTATTTTAGACCTGCCAGCTGAAAGCTCGCGCAGCTGCAGGGACGGCAGGTTTTGAATGTCAGATACCAAAGTGTGTGTTATAAAGAGCGGTTTGCTGTGGGTCAGCAGAGGTCAGGGGTCATGCTGGAGAGCAGCATGTCATGTCATTGTAGCATTTCCTCAACTTCCTCACTCTGTTTGTCTGTGTTTCAGCCTCAGCTTAAAAATATTTCATTTCTGAACATTAAGCTGTTATCAGGATGAAGCTGTCATTCATTATTTTGTCTCATTCATTTCTAGCCTCTGTTTTGCAGCTGCTTATCTCTCATGCACAACCTGCTTTTTTTCTTTTTTCTCTCACCCTCTCTCCGTAAGTTTCTCTTCTCATTTATTCAATTTTTATGGGGAAACTGAAGTGAAATTGATCTTTTTGTAAAAATCCATATGTACACAATCTTCAAGCAGACAGTTTCCTGTGAAAGCAGTGGGTCTAACAACTGAAAAAACTGTGGTTGGGCTTACTCATAAAAACAAATATATATAAATGTCTGAATGTAATATGAATAAAATATTTAGCTAAATAGCACATATCCTGTATGACATGAAGTGAAACAGAAATTTCCTAGTCTATCCCTTTTTGATGTCCTTTGCTTGTGAATTTTGTCTAGTTTGGGTTTTAATGAGCATTGCAGACATTATGTCTCTTTTAGAGGTGTGGTAAAAAAAGAAAAAGATCTTATATACATTTAACATGACACAAGTGGCCATTAAATGAAGAGCAACATCCTTGGCCCCAGGTGACTCCTGCTGAGTGCTCTCATAAGTAATCTCCCAGACCTGAGCGGCCGTCATTGGCTGACCCAACATTACCATAGTGACCGGAGCTGTCAAAGTACAGAAGTAGCTGCTCATTCTTATGTTTAAGAGGACATGTTCTGGCCTTTGATGGTGTTAAAGGGGATTATGACACACACCTGGATTCAAAATGATAACAGCAGGTTTAAAATGAGGTGTTCAGTGTTGACTGCCGTGCATTTTTCTGTTCGCAGTGATCGTCAATTATGCATTTTACTATTGCCCTGACGTCTTTGTCTACAGTCTACGTCACAAATCTGACATAGTTCAGATGTTGTTTTTATTCCTTTAATCACACATTTCTCTGCATTCCTTTTGACTTTGTCTTCTGCTGAGAGCCGTGGATGCTTCAGGGTGTGGTGCGGTGGAGAAGTCACATCTTCCTTTTGCATTTCTTTTCCTTTTCCAGGTACACCCTCAGCACCTCCAATTCAGCCATTGCTGCTCTGCTTTGTGCCTTGTACCCACACTTCCCCGCTCACAGCACAGACAACCGGTAAGGCCAGTGCACATGAACACACGGCTATAAAAAAATTAAAACAAGCTTTAAAAAATGTGTGAGGATGTGAGGCTAAACAAGATCATAATCCTGAATAAAAAACATCCCTGTCACCAGTTGTAGTTAATAACACTGTTACTATACCTGAAAGAGTTTGAATTGAATTAAATCATTTTCTTTTAGCGTCTTTTAAATTCAAAGCATGTCATATTTCTTCGTAATTGAATCACTGTCAGGGGTAAATGGGGCATTACTCTACCAGTTTCTTCACTGGAAACCAGATGGAGGAAAAACCTCTGCATAAATCATTGCTTTATAAATACAGGGCGACATTCCTCTGCTGTTCGATAATCGATGCAGATTACATCATCCTCATCTGTGATTTTGGGAAAATGTAATTTAAAGTGGAACAAACGATCAAATGATCAGATGAAAGGGATTTATCCCATAAATCATTAGGGTTTTAACCACAGCTCTCTGTAGATGTTTAATGGCAGAGAACTTAATGTTTCCTCTTTGATTTGAATGGAAACTGACACGATGTTGCTGCTTTTCCTGCAGCTACCACTTGCAGGCTCTGCGGCATCTGGCCGTCCTGGCTGCTGAGCCACGGCTGCTGGTTCCTGTGGATGTGGACTCCCTAAAGCCTTGCTATGCCCTTTTAGAAGTCACCTATAAGGTCAGCTCACAGGATACAAACAGGAATAGAACAGTGATTGAAAAAATAATTCCTCTTTTTGTTCTGTTCATTGCAGGTCTGTCAACTTTCACGTCACGATGTCCAATGAAATGCAACCCAGCAACCAAAAATCACACAATGATAGTTCTGATAATCGAGTCTTCTACATCTGCTGCTAGTTAGTGGTAACAGATGAATAAATAGTTATTCAATTAAAAATCATGCACATATTAATACATTTGAGAAAATACGTTAACATGTGCTTTAGTTGGTGGTATAGTTCAAGCTTAGGCAGTATGTGTGATATAGGTAGTGAATAAAAATTAGAAAAACCTGCATGTTCTCCTCTCTGATAAATGTATTTGGCCAAAGCTCCACCAGCTTTTGTTAAACAAGTGGAAATAGAGAAAAACCTTAAAAGCCATACAGAACAGATATTTAATGACCCTTTGAGGGGATTAAAAAAAATAAAGAATTCTCCAGTTTTGAGATAAACACATGCAGCCAAACCTTGTATTCAACATCAGTCTGTGGTTGGTAGTACTGTTTCTCTCTGGTTAGTTTGGTTGTTTGTTAGCAGTTTAGCTTGTCATTAACCTCTGAAGGACCATTTACCTTCAAGTCAACTGTCTGATTTCAACATCACTTTGATTTGACCTCATGATGTCACAAGTGCATCAAACAGGCACTAAAACTGAAAATGAGTGTAAGCTGTTGCTTGTAGTTAGACAAATCAACACCACTGCGGCAAATCGTTACATGCTGTTTGTGTAAACTGCGACCTGCAACATTATTTTATATTTCTTTCTAAATATCTCAGTGGAGATGTAGGCTTGTCATGACAAGAAGTCGTCTGGGGACAGGTGTACCAGACAGTGAGCGCCATATTTCTGTGGGCTCTGATTACTGTTTGAGAGCACCTGGACATGTTTTTAGAAAAATCTGAGCAAAGGTTTATACACATATAATTGAATTAATTTCAGATAACATAATCGATTAACTATGTTATTATTTAGTTATTGCTACAGTTACATGTCACCTTTTTTCCATTAACCTCTTAGCTGATCCATTGTAACATGATGTTTAAAGCATTTTAACACACCTTTAGTAATACCCATATCAGTCCTCAGTAATGGGTTTACTTTAAATGTAGTGGTAGCATTTTTTCACGGTAATGTCTTAACTTCGCAATTTCTACAGTATATTCCTGACCCCCTGATAATGTTGGCGTTAGAATGACACGGTTTGCTCTAAATTTCAGGAGACAAAGTGGTACGATGAGACAACAGTGGAATTAATGGCTCCCACGATGCTTCCTGAGCTCCATCTTCTTAAACGGGTAAAGCCGGAGTACAGCAGCTCCCAGCTTCCACGACAGCTCAATCAACTCTTCTTGACAATTAGATGGTTAATTACATTTTTTTCTGTACAAATTTGATTGCAGGTGAAGGTTAAGGGGCCCCGTTACTGGGAGCTGTCTGTAGACCTCAGCAAAGAAACGCAGCATCTCAAGTAAGTGTGAAAAGAGAATGAAACATAGGTTTAAATTTCATATAGATTTTGGAATTATCAGGGTCAGTTTGATTTATTTTTTTATCTGTTTCTTGTATTACTATTAATGAATCACTATGCCTCTGTGTTTCCATCAGGTCTATCCTTTCCAGAGATGGAGTGTTGTATGTAAAACTGCGGGCCGGTCAGCTTCCGTACAAAGACGATCCTCAGGGTTGGAAGAGCCTTCTGGCCACAACCGTCAACCACCGCAACTCTGGAGTCAGGGCCTTCAAGGTAAACACAAGGGGATGTCACATCTGCCAAATAACACCATCCATCAGAGCAGGTCAGATTACTGTGCAGAGCTGAACGATCTGACAGCAACTACCAGCTCCAGCACTGCGATTACATCCAGACTGAAGGCTGTGAGTTCCTGCTGCTGTCAGCTGAACTTGTTTGCCACATATCGTCAGCATGGTTTTTATTCTCATCTATCTTGGTAGCTGCACATGTTGCAGATCAAGCGCAACATTTTGGGTCAAGTAGCGTGGCCAATCCATTTAGTGGCTCTCTGTCATATTTCAAACAAACAAAGACTTTTTTGTGCTTAGACTGAATGCAGCTTTTAGTGGCTAAGTGGACACTGGATGCATTTAATTATCAAAGCACGTTGATTGTGCCATATTGACTTCTTTTTCTCTTTTAGCTCTCTTTTATTTAGCATTTTGCTTTTAATAACCTCCTCTTTGATAAGGACATGTGGAAAGAGACCAAGTGAATAGAGGCGAGAATAAATTAAATGACCCCCTCCCCAGTGTCCAGCCTTGGCAGGTTGTCGCTGCAGGTTCATAGGCAACGCTGAGGCTGACAGACTATTACAGCCTTCCTGATGTTTTCAGTCTGTGCTGTCAATATAACTGCAGATCCAGAGAGAGAGACGGCGGGGGGGCACATGGTTCACCCGACTTTTCCTCCATGTCCTTTTCCTTTTTTCAGTTCCTCCTAATTGTCTTTTCTGCCTAATATTCTTTGTACCACCTGCACCTCTCTATTCTGCTGAATAATTTGCCCCTTTTGGTATGTTTGTCTGCAGCCTGAAGCCATCTCCACTTTCACCTCTGAACCCGCTCTCATCTCCTTCGCCGAGTTCTTCTGTAAAAGCTCCGACGGAATTAAACACGTGAGTTTTTTATAGTTTCCGCTTCACACTGATGATGCAATCAGTGATGTTATCATCCAGCAGCCATGTTCAGTTCAAGTGTGACTAAGCCTGTGACTGGTTTAATTAATTATAGGTACCAATAATCCAGTTCAGCTGACCTAAATATTCGCTTATATACAGTAACTACAGATTTAGGTATCCCAGCTAAATGGGGGCTCTCTGCATAATTGAGGGTTTAACGTAGACTGTGAATGCAAGTTTGCTTGTGTGCCATGTGTCTTTTCATCATGGGATTTTTGGGTTGAGGGTTTTTCTAAACTCTCTGGGGAGATAAGTCATTTTTCTGAGGAACTCAAATATCAGGGGAATTTAACAGCTTTTATTACAAAGCATTTCTCTTCGATAGAGTGGGACTTTGAATAAGTGCTCCCATGCTGATAATGATTGAATGAAATAAGAATCCAAATAGGGGTGTTTTTATACATTATGTTAGCAGACAGTGGTGGTGGTAAATTCTCATCCACACATTGATTAGCAATACTGTAATATTATGTGATATATATTTAGATCTTCTTGAATGTAATCAACATGAATGATGTTAAACCCTAAGTTCGAACAACTTTCTCAGAGATAAATTACACCCTGTTTGTGTTGAGCAGCAGACTGTGGACGTGTTCAATGGTCCACTGCCTCGGAAAGACTTTTCCCAAGCATTGGTGGGATTTTATATCCAAGTTTTAAGCATTTTAAGAATAACAGTCACTCTTAACTCTGTCTCGGCATGTTAAGAGTCCACTGCCAGGTCGAAGCTAATGAATACCCATTGTTTCTTTGGAAATTCAGGCGAAAACTAAACCAATTTACATGTACATGACGGGGGCCGGGGAGTTATCACAGATGGTCACCCCCAGGTTTTCCCCTTCGGGGGCCATCCAAAATCTCTGTCCTTGATTTCCCGTTTCATCCGTTGTTCTGGCTTTTCATTCAAATCTGACTGATCGGGTGGAAAGCCACATCTGATGTTTTTTCCCTTGAAAAAGGTTTCTCTGTTGGAACAAGACAAATTCACAAAGTTCACAAAGAAAAAACACAAAGAAAACTTGGCACGAAAATATTCAGATGTTCAAAAATAATGAAGATAGTCTTGACATTGATAGGCTCCTGTGGCTATGAATCTCTTGACTCCTGTTTTCTGACTAGAGAGGCTGCTTTATTACAGCTGTAGGTCAACTGGTTATATGGCCGAGGTCACTAGTTTAAGCTTGTGACCAAAAAATGAAGAAAATTAATCAAGTTGTAGGTTAGCCCTCTATAATTGAATTTAACAACTTTTTATCTGATTTTTAGCAGGCCAGTCTCACTTAACACACCTCTGCATATTTCTCTATAAGCCCTGGGTTACAGGATAAAAACACGGTATCTAGATGTGAAATGAGGATGCTGATGAGTTTTAGGCCGATAATTGCAGGATTTGTTGCAGTTTGTTCTGTTTCACAGGGCCTGTAATACCTCCTTATGCAGATATAATTACACATATCTTGTCGGACATCATATTTATCGTCATGCCTAAATGTGACTTTGGTATGACCTTATTAATGTTTGATTTAGTTCAAATTGTGATCGGTCTGCAACTTCCAAATTGCTTTCTGAAGGACCTCCGTATCATTCCTATCTTTATAAAGTAAGTTGACTATTTTAGTGTACAGTATTACAGGGCTTGAAGGGCCCTTGACCTTTTATTTTAAGAAGAATAACAAATTTGAATTCCCTGAGTTCACACGCATTTAAAAACAGCAAGTTTATAAAACGGCAACACTTGATCCATTTACAGTACAAAGCAAATGAATGGAGAATCACGTTGACTCGGTGCCTTTGTGTGATGTTCGCAGAGAGAAGACACTCTGGCATTGTTCTCGGCGATGCTTTATGAGTGTGTGACGCAGGAGTGTCCAGAGATGCTGCCCACATACGTGGCTATCGAGCAGGTAACACACACACAACACACACAACAGTATGATGGCGGCTTCATAGTTGTTTTAGTGTTTGTACAACAGTCATGTTTGATCAAACTATCCAGTAAATAAATGCAGGGGCAGAAAGACACCATGTGGACAAGCTTCAGCTGTGAGCTGAACTGGATTGCATGCGTTTCCGATCAGATATGCTTTAAAAGTTTTTAAATTCCAGTTCGATAAAGTCCTTTGGCATTTTTCTGTCAGGCTGTCGGCGCCCTGAGTCGCGGTGGGCTGCAGCAGACCTTCCCCTTGTGGCAGCTCCGTCTGGTGGTGGAGCTGTGGGACAGCCGGATGCTGAGAGGTCCTGCTAACCGCCACGACACCCTGCTCACCTCGGAGTTTCTGCCCGTCATGAAGAACGTGGTGGATGTAGCTCTGGATGACTGGCTCCGAGGTGAGGAGGAGGAAGCTTAGTTGCAGTGCAAACACGTTCAAGGTTTCAGCTTTCAATTTTCTAAATGCAATGGTTTTTCTCAGGTCTGGCCGAAGCTTGACAAGATTGCATTTATCAGGTTTTACCACATTAATAAAGCAAAGTCCTTATAGTTTCCACTCCAGCAATGAACCATTGACAGGTGGAAGGACTGTGACAGATGATTAGCTCTGCTGTGAAACTTTAGGTGTACACACTTACTATATAGAAATAAACATTCGCAGTGTAAAAAAACAAAAGGGGAAAAAAAGCTTTACCACTCCCTGAAAATGATCATTGGTGGCTCAAGGAGCACAACAACAGGTTTGATGCTCCTGGCCTTCCCCTGATTGATCATCCAACACACTGGTCCCATAGAACTTGCCCAGAGGTCTCATGTCCATCACACAAGCTCAGGTCTGTTTTAAGACTCCGGCTCAGTTCACTGCAGGTGGTTTAAATGCTCCGACTGTTCTGTGTTTGTTCTCTGGAGCTAAGGCGCTCCCAGTCTTCTGTGGAGTGACACCTATTTCCTGGGTTGAATAAGAAGACTTTGACCGTGGGGCACACTAAAAATATGTTTGTGTTTTAGGGAAGGTAAACATTATCATCCTGGAGAGGCCCTTTATGTGCTGTCGGTACTCAATAGTTGACTGGAGAGAGATCAATCGGGTTCTGATAAATCAACTCATATCGGGTTACACTCTTTGTTAAGGATCAGAGGTATAAGTCCTCAATTCTGTTTGCGTTTCTTTTGTAAACAGATGTAAATCCAACCTGCAAGTGTGCACACATGCAGCGATTGGTCAGATGGAGCACAGCATGAAACGGGCCCAACAGGCTCAAGAACCTGCAGCCATCTAACAGAGCCGTTTTTATCACAAACCTTTTATTCAGTCTGACCCAAATGTAGAGAATCAAACTATTACCTCACACTCAGTGATTTAAAAACAGGCCCAACGTTTTCACTCATCCCTGTTTCAAACCGAAGGAAAGAGCGTAAACACCATGTAAGTATGATCAAATCTTTAATCAGACAGCCTGGCCGGCAGGTGTGAGTTGAGTCCAGCTGAAAGACACTGTGGCCTTTTGTAAGAGAGACACAATCAGGAAACCCTGTGACCGCTATCAGCTGAGCTGTCCATGGTTACCACTCAAACAGCAACAATTTCATGCCCTGGAGTGACAAACAAGCCTGCTTTTACCTGCCAAAGAATTGTGTTGTTCCAGATCTGCGGACAAACACGAGCTTTAATTCGAACCGTCGCAGCATGTGATTAAAAGGTTAACTGTGGCCCCTGTGAGCCGCGCCGTCACATGCTGCATGCTTCTGCTTCTTTTCATGCTCAGGGTGTCACATTAATGACATAGTTTTGAGGTTAAACACACTTTGTATACACCCAAACACACATTCCAGTCGTGAACTTGTATCAATACGAATGCATTCTTCCAGAACAAAAAATGCTCCTCCAGCACTGTGGGAACTGGGTGAGGTCGTTGGACGAGACTGCAGCCTTGCAAAGGGTTCGAACACGTCCTCGCTTTGCTGATTCATTGAGCTTCGTTCTTTTTTCTTTTTTTTTTAACAGACATTTGGAAGGACAGGCGCAGCGAATGTAACTTCAGTCGTCAGGAATGTTGAAGTGTTTCGGAACTCACCCATGAAAGAAATGTGATGAGATCTTTACTTGGATCTTTAGCTTTCTTGTTAGGCTTTTTTCAAAAACAGCTGCAACTTTATTAAACAAACACTCAAGAGATCTGAAGTCATGGGTTAGCTTTTCAAACTGTTTTCTGAACCTGTGAAATGGAAAGTTTTCTAGAATGCTTTTAGGTTTAAAGGTAAACCCTGCAATGCAACGCAGGTTTTGATCCCGAATTACATGAGTTTTGCAGTTAGAAGGAAGCCCCCAGGAGCTGTCGCACAGTAAAAGCCTCCAGAGCTTTTTCCTGTGTAATTCACCTCGAAGGCTTCTTTTGTTCAGCTAAACGAGTTGATTAAGCGAGGCCCACATACCGCGAGACTCAAATATTTGTCGTGCACTGCCATCGCTCATCTCCTGTCGCCACTTCTTCAGCCCGAATTCTTAACATTCTTTCAAAACAAAGACTGATAAGCAGCTGTTTTTTCTCCTGAAAAAAGCTGTTCACTGCAGTTCCAGTGAAAAAGCAAAACAACCACTGTGAAAAAAGTCTCTCCTTCTATCCATCAGAGTTCAGCATTATTAACCGACAATTTCCTCTTTGGGAAATTGAAAGTTTTCTGCTCAAGTATTAAAACTTCAACCAACTTAGTTCCAACATCATTTATTTGCAGATGATATCTTTCTCAGGCATTTACAACATATACTGCAGCATCTTTAATGATTAGAATACGGTTCCGAGTCATGGACAAGAGAAGTTCAAGCCTTAAAGGAACTTTGGTCTGGTGCTTGTTTGGAGACACCTGATACCTGCCAAACTAAAACACTTGATTAAGAAGGACTACCAATGATGTTTGTTTTTTTTCTCTTCTAGACAACAGCTCAGTTTTGAGGTCCTACATGAGGGGTGGCGTTCTCTCTAAGGACGCCCAGTCCACCATGCTGGCCTGCTTCCTGGTGTACCGTTCCATCCCCTTCCTCAAGAACACGCACACACAGTTGGAGGGTGAGCTAAACAGATGTCCACAGGAAACCAGACGGCACTGCATGTGCATGCAAACATTTAACACACCGTTAACAGCAGCAGGAATTTAACCCCTTTGCACAGCTTTGAAATCTACTTTGTGTGCACACTTCCTGCCTCTTTAAGCCTGGGCCTATGCTCCCTGTTGTTGACCGCTTAATGGGCAGCTTCACCAGAGGAGAAGCCGTTGATTTTTGTAACCTACTTTAATAATGTCCCAATTTACTCTTTTTAACATCAACAGGGAGGATACAAAGCATGCAATCTCAATTACTACATTTTTCATATTTCTCATCATAATTTCTACTGTGTGATGTAAACCCTGTGAAAAAGAACTTTTATATCAGAAGTCTTCATTTGTTTATTTCAACAAAATGTGAAAATATAAACAAATATAATTTGCATAGAATTTCTAGTCATATTTAATCAATATTTTCTCCACATTTTTACTATAATCTGAAATGCAAAAAAAAAACTTTTTAAACAAAGTTTTGACTGTATGCAGAAGAAACAGATTTTAGAAATCTTTGTGTTAAATATAACACTTTAAAGGGTTAACTGAATGAAGTTTCTGCAGAAACGGTTTTGACATAATTTTGTATTGTTAAACATTTGACGTCCTACTAATTAGCTGCACCGGCAGCAGAACTTTAAGCTCTGGTTGCACATGTCATAAATTCATCTGAAAGTCCACCCTCTCCCTGCAGGCTGCCGCTCTTTTGGGGAAGTGCTGGCACGTGGCAGGCAGCTTGGCATCCCTCTGAGAGACCTGCTGAGACTGACCCCCATCCTTCTGGATCCTGCGTGTGGATCGCAGCTACCTTTGGGCCTTCCTCTGCAAGCTTTGTCATCTTGATGTTTGGAGCCAGTCAGCGGACTGGTAAACTCTCAGAGATGCAGTAAAGGCTCACAGGACTCAGTTTTACCTGGAAACACAGCAGCATTGTGCAGCACGTGACTCTGCAGATGCTCTGTGTGGCTGCAGCATGGCTGCTTCACCTCTGAGAAGAACTGTTTTAGTAAAACAGACTTTATTTCATTTCATCTTTCTGAAAATGAAAAAAAACATATACATTTTTGTAATATAGCATTATAAATAGGATTTTTTACGACTCAAAAAGTGTTATGGCTGCATTTATCGTGCAGTACATGTGCCATTTCTGTGGTGCAAGCTCCCCAAAGTGCGATTTTTGGGTGGTTTGTTCAAATGTGCAGCAGCAGACGGGTTTTCTGCAAACAGATGTTGTAAAGGGAACAGATGGGACTGGTCAAGAGAAAGAATGGGGTCTGGTGTTCTTTTCCTGATGTCCGTGCTGCTTGTGAACTGCCATTGTTCTGGTCGCTGTCTTGACAGAAAATAAGGAAAAGGGCACCCCAATAAAGCAGAAAAGTAACTGGACATTTGATGGATACTGTTTTTCTTTTACAGTGTGTATCTCAATGTTTCCAGATGGGGCTCAGTCTGTGCAGATGTCCTGTTTGGTCTGTATCTTTCCTGTGCCACCCCACAGACACTCTGAAATTTCCACTGTAGAAGGCTTCAGACAACTGCACCTTTTTTTCTTTTTCTTTTTTTGAACCCTTTCTCAAGTTATCCATCACTTTTTGTTTATTTAGCGCAGATGTTATTATTGTGTTGGCAGAGTTGTTTCCTCTGCGGTCCAGATAAAGGCTCTTTCAGAGTCAATCTACGATCGAAAAGAGCTGTGCTGTGTTGCTTTGGGTGGCTCCCCACATGAAAGAATTCCCATTCTCTTCCAGTGCATTAAAGCTGAGACATCATGTCTGTATTTACAACTCGCAGTTGTTGATTTTTGGCTTTGAGCTTTTTGCCTTTGTTCGATTCGGTCCAACAGATTCTTGCCTTTGACTCTTTAACAAACCCCCCGCCTCAATCACTTGGTACCTAGTCTGTTTGCCTATAATTATCAGATGAAGATTAGAAATCACTGATAATGTAATCACTGGAGTGCACAACTTGATGTATATTGATGAGTTAGGATTAATTTTTATGTCATAAAAAGGGCCCGCTTACTGACCTCCCAAACATGGCAATGATGCATAATGGAGAAGATCTTCACAAGCACGAAGGCAAATATTTGGTATGGCAGGTGTTCTGTTAACTGATATCTTGCCAGACTGGGTGAAATCATAGAGGTTTGTGTTCTAAACAGCACATAAAAGACACCAACTATATGAAAAACATGTAAAGTTGAATACAAACGCAAATAATCCAGCATAAACGGTCCTGAAATAGACCTTGTAATATAGAATCTAAAGTGAAAATGATACAAAAGTTTAAATTAAAATACTCTCACAGTTTGTAAGATATTTTAAGGGACAGCTTGACATTTTTTCAAGCCAACAGGTTTGAAACCCAGAACTCCTCAGGGGCTTTCCAAACTAAAAGAATGAATGTAGCACCTTTCCTTTCACACTGGTTGTTGTTTTCTTTTCTTTTATGCAAAGACAGATGGTATGTCCTGGGTGGTGTTTGGGTACCTGTACTCAGTTTCACCAGCCAGAAAACATCTCAAGCTGGATGTTTTCACATGAAGTCACACCTCATACTTGGAGTGTCTCAGATTTTTATTTAGTTTCCAAAATGCGTGTTGTTTTTCATAACTGGCAACTTGTATGAGAAAGACCCAAGTTTTTGATGTTCTGAGTCAGAGAATTTAAGGTTCGGTAACCGGGGCTATGAACATTCCCCGCTGTGTGTGTTAATGTGTCCGCCCTAGTCTCTTAAAGTGGCCCAAAAGTCTTGGAATTGGATGCCCAGCTGAGTATGGAAATCCTGATGTCATGTGGCTGCTGTGTGGGAGGATGTGCTGCATATGTTCTGCTCCGAGTCTCAGATCATTTCTAACCAACAGCTCTGAGAACATTCCTGAGTAAATGGAAAACATCCGAACAAACAAGCAGTCCACACCCTCCTTGCAAATGTGCAGCATGCAGAGCAGCTTCTCGCTCCTTTCCTGGGACGCCAAAGTTGGAATAATGCGTTCGTAAACCTTTACAGCTTATTCGTCTTGATTTGTAACAGGTCATTCCTTTGAAAGAAGTAAAGTTAGAATGAGAGTTAGCTATGAGTTTCCTATGTGTCAGCTCCTCATCTCCATTTATGAGGATAAAATGTGGGCTTTGAAGGATCTCTTAAGCATCAAATGAGCTGGTCCACCCATATTTAAACACTTCACAGAGTATAAAACAAGTTTTTGTGAGCATTTTCATCCAAAGTACCCAAAAATAGCAGCCAGACATGATTCACATAGTTTTTATTGAATGAAAGAGGCTTTCAGGCCCACGGCGGTGTTGACTTTTAATGTGCCACAAAGAGTTATTTGTGGTTGTTTTTAACTGTGTCACTTCCTGGCTTTTTTTTTTAATCATTAAACAGATGCTTTTCACCTAAACAGAAACTACTCAGTCTGTCGGCTTTGTGCTGTAACAGGATCCTACATGAAGAGGTCGGTTCTGTGCCAGCACTTCAACGGTTCTTGCTGTCAAGAAGGAGAATTTTCTCGTGGGAAAAGCTGATGTCATAACTTAGAGCACCAATCAAGGCTCAGCAAAATTTGAATCCAAACATCAGGGCAGTGGAATGGCTGTTTTTTTTTATGTCATGTTAACTTTATGGATAGACGGGACAAAAATGTATGCCCTTGGAACTGTTTGTCAGGAATATTCTTTAAAAAACAATTAATATAGAAGCAACTACCAGGGCCAGTGAAACAAAACTTTACTCAGAGTTGGGGTAAGAAAAGAATCCAACTTTGGCACAGAGCTCACTATTTGTAGTTTGAATTGTGACATTGGTGACTCATTTTGGTTTCCAGCTGGACTCTGAAAGTCGTCTCCTATTTATCTGATACATAATTTTATGCAGAAAGGTTTTAAAAATTGTTGAAATACTCCTGGTCTCTAAGTGACAGCCTTGAGCAATTCATTTGAACATAGATTAAAACCAAATTACATTCATCAAAGTACTTGTAAATCGGTTGTTTGCCTGTAATGTCTTTAACAGCATTTGGTTATCGAGTTAGTTCTGAATAAAGATGCTACTGTGGAAGAAAAGGATGCTTTTCCCTGTTTGTAACACCATGTCCTGGCGGTGCGGGACAGACCGAAAAATGGGAGGACCACAGATGCTCTCATCTCCTCCAGTCACAACCTCAAGAAATCTTACATCATCGGGTAAGCATAAGATGTTAAACACCTGTAATTTGTCAATTGTCGAGTCCATGTTGTGGTCATTAGTACACGTCACCCTATCATATCGTTTATACTCACTATACTGCAAACTCATGGAGAATTTGAAAAAGAGTTCTGCAATTCTAGCCATCATGGCCAGAAAGTGTCTTTAAGAGATTAAATGTGGGACATGCTGCTTCACTTTTGCTGGATGCACGCATACAGAGAAATGCGCAGCTGGTATGGTTAACTCCAAACATGAAAGTGCCTTTATTCTATCCTTATATACTTTTGGGGATTCACTTCTAATATTCAAAGAGAAAAATTTGTAAGGCAACCCATCCTTCAGTGCTGGCTGGCTGACGTTGTGCTCGTGGTTTCCTGGAAACGCATATTGTTCCAGCCAACACATCTTAGCAAACATTCCAGAGAAAACGTCACATGACATTGATCAGCAAACTTAAGTTCAGGGCCAACAGGAACTCAAACAGCCTGTGGGTGTCTTTAAGATGATCAAAGTCAGGTGGTTTACTAGCCCTGGAGTCTCATTTAAACGGCCTCATTTCGGGTTTCGTGAATCCCTGTAGCTGGGATGCCTGAGGGCCACACGTGGTTGAAGTACACAGCACAAAGAGGAGAACATTTTCTGAGCTAAATCAGGCCTCGTGCTGACAGGGAGAGACTGAGATGCTATCTGAAGGTGGAGAGTGTTTGTCAGAAATCATGTTTAGATCTGACCTCAGTTTCCTTTCTGAACGCATTCCTTTGTATTTCTGTTTTTTTATTTATAGTACCTGGAATCCGTATCTGGCCTTAAAACTAACAAGTCAGCGATGGAAAGAAGAAAATGAAAAAGAACTCGAGCTAACCTCTTTTGCTCTTTGACTGAGGTTGCTGTCTAAATTCATCTCGAATGGAAAATTGACGCTTCTGTGCTGGGCTCTTGTGCTTTTTTTATTTTAATTTCTTAATTTGGAAGAATCGAATTTTAAAAAGACTCACATCAATCAGCTAGCCACAACTATCTTTACTCAAACGGTTGAGGAAGGGGCAGAGCTCGTACCAACCACCAGTCAGGCCAGAGGTTGGGCACACCTTTAAAGGAAAGCAAAAATAGTGAGTATGGACACCAGCCAAACCTACCAACAATATGCAAGGACACTGTAAAAAAGTTGTCAGGATTCAGTTGAAGTGTTACAGGGTCAGATTTAAGTGCAACAGGATGTGGGGTTGTGTAATAAAGTCCCGGACCACACCAAGGCATGTGTTGGGAAACAGACGGCCTGACTGGATGTGGCGTTTAGGCAGCTCTCTTTTGAGCCTTTGGGAAAAGGAAAGCTGCCTGTAGGAAAAAAAAAGACAGTGTTGTGTTTGTTTCCACAATAAGCCAATGCGAGTATGTCAAGGGGAACACACCCTCCAACGCTGGCTTTTCTCACGTCTTCACTTTGCACAGCAGTTTGGTGCATTTAACTTTAACCCCAGAGTAAACAACTATTTTGGTATGATCCTTATGGAATAACAGCCTGACTGGACCACCAAAGAGGGAAAACCGTGGGTGAATGAAAAACAAAGGAGGCGACTTAATGACAATTCTGGAGTTACTTTATAGACGTGGACACATTTTCCACTTTGAGCAACAGGAAAAATGAATCCCCTATAGGTCAATTATTCCCTTTTAACTAATCACCTCCACATTTTTCTCTTTTTTCCCATTTTATAATATTAGCAAACACTGAAGAAAGTTAGAAAACAGCTATTATCTCACTGAGCAGCCACTTCCTGTAAAACTTTAATGTTGATTTTGGTTACAACAGGAAACACTGGCATGATCATACTCTGAGGTAAAACAGAGCACAAGTCATCGCCTGAAAAATAAATACAAGAAACTCACGGCATGAATGCAGCTTATTTGCTGTAGGTTGTATAATAGTTTAGGGACCGGTCTGTTTTGGGCCTTTTAATACCGGCCAGTCGTGCTTTGAACGCCACGGCCCTTCTCTGGGCTGTTAATGACCATGTGCATCCCTTTATGACCACAACCATCTAATCTCCTGAGCAGTCACAAGACAAACACAGCCTCAAACTGCAAACAGCCCCTGTCACCAGATCTGATCCGCTGGAAAGCACCTTCGGAAGAGAAATTTCACTTTGTTTTAAAGTACAGTTCTCAGATTCAT